TGCCCCTTTGGGCAGGAATGACAGCTGCAGTTTTCAAAAGCCCCCATCCTTCCCACTGATTTTCATGGCTGCTTCCATTAATGTAAGACCTCTTAGTTGCAGCTCTAGAGTTACAGTGTAGGGACACTGAACTACTCACTTTCTTGTGCGCAGAGCACCTTTTCTCCTTTAACGCCGGCAGAGGCTAACTCATCTTTCATAGCTCAGTTCCCGCCACTTTCCTCCAGGAGCTTGTCTCTGAACCCATGATGAACTAAGTGTCCCTTTCTGTACTCCCATATCGCACCGTACATCCTGTGTCACATCCCATGCCACATTATATTCAGATTAAATGTTTGTGTAATGCTTGAATTCCTCACAAGGCTCACAAAGTGAGCAACTGGAAATCCTCAGGGATTTCTTGAGCCATTAATTTTATTCATTCTGTCAACAGCCATGAAGAGGGTGGCGACATTTGACTCAGATCTTAAAGGATAAGTGCATCGCTCTTGAAATACCTGTGGCTGCCATCTCGTTTGGTAGGAGCAGTGTCCTAGAGAACTACAACTCCCATCAGGACCTTCGGGATCACGGCCCTCGGAGGCGGAAATACAATTTAGGAACTACCACTCCCGTGATGCTCCGCTTCTGACGTCTGCGCAGAGCACAGCGACACGTTGCTTTTGCAGCGCTGCATTTCACCCATCTCAGCATGGCTTCCGCGGACTCCCGGCGGATGGGCAATGGTGGCGGTGTCGGGGGAGCCTTCCAGCCCTACCTAGACTCCTTGCGGCAGGAGCTGCAGCAGAGGGACCCGACGGTGCTATCAGTCGTGGTGGCGCTTCTCGCGGTGCTGCTGACGCTAGGTAAAGTGGCGGCGGGTGCCGGGCGGGCGAGTCCGGGCTTGGACTAGGAGGATGTGGGGAGAACGCATCTGAGGGGCGTTTAGAGAGAGAGACTCACTCCTTATGCCAACCTGCCCTCTGCTTGAAGCAGCGGGAGCAGCGTTGCGTTAAAAGGGATCCCCCGCAACCCCCGGAGTGATGTCCTGGTCCTTGGGGTACGGGTTACTCTTCTTTATCGGCCCATTTTACCTGAGTGCGTGGTTCCCCGCCCTCCTATCGCTTTTACTACCTAGACACACAGGGTCTCTACTTCAAGTTTGAGCATCCTGTGTTT